CTTTAGTAATCTAATTTAATTATATTCAGATTTCTAGTATTATCTATAAAAGCTTAATACAGGAGTAACTAGACTGCTGGCTGCTAGCCAGAAAATCAGATTATTATTAATTAATAATTAATCTAATATCTATTTTAATAATACAGTAATTAAAAATATATTACCACTGATATATTATTCTTGTAAAGACTCTGTATAAATTATTAATTAATTTATAGTTATTAATCTTCTGAGTATACCTGATCTTTCTAACCAGTAGTTAAGATTAGTTAAAGTAATCTCTTAACTGTAATCCTATTATTTAAAAATAAATAGAAAAAGCAGGTCAGATTTTTATTCTAGTACAATTATTTATTTATTTTCTAACTATAAAAAATTCTTCTTCTTTATAATTCATTGAAATTATTTTAATATAATAATTATGGTAGTAGAAGATTCAGATTCAGTAAATTAAAAGTTGTATTTTATATATTTAGTAAATAATACTTTATAATTACAAGAATTCTTTATTAAATAGATCAGATTAATAAGCGCAGGAAGAGCAGATATAATAAATTCAGTTAATATAAATATAATCTCTATTCTTTTATATATAAAGTCAGTAGTATTATCCTGTACAGAAAGAATCTTATTATTATTAATTATATTTTTTATATCTTATATAATTATTTTATTAAAATCAATTCCAGTACTCTGTATCAGTATGATTAGATTTTTAAAAATAAATATAAATACTATAATTACTCTACTAGAATCTTTATAATTATTCTTATATATATATTATTTATAGAACATCATATCTCTTGATTATTTAATTTTATTTAAATTAGAATACTACACTAGATAAATATAGCTATGATTTTTGTCAAATCTGATAAAGTAGCTAGTATCAATATAAGAGTTTATTTTTCTGAAAGTAATATGGTTCTCTGTAGGTATATATTAATAATAATAATATTTAAATATATATAGAAACTTAAGCAAAGTATTAGAATTCAGAAGATTATAGTATAATCTGTATAGATAAGCAGGTATTTCTTTAATCTTACTTTCTATAAGAATTAGATAGTTAAGAATCTATATAGTAAGTCTCATAGTAAACAGCCAGAGAATTATAAATAAATCTGAATTAAGAATTATAATCCTGCTTATCTGGTTAAATAAACCACTGTAATATTTAATAAGATTATTTATCTTAGATATTCAGGAAGATAATATAATAATATAAATTTCTTGATCTTTGTAATATATTTATTCTTTGAATTTATTAAACTTACAGTCTTTATTAAAATATCATGAGATAATATATTTACTAATTATATTCTTATATTTATTATTTATCTGAATCAGCTCCGTGGAGGTATCATCTTTTTATTTTAATATAGTTATTTTAATTAATTAAATAATATTATTTACTATTACCAGGAAATATTTAAATTCTTTATAATTAATTAAAGTTACCTGCTGCACATCCGTGTGCCAGAATTATATAGAATTAAAAATTCTTAGAATAAGATTTCTTAATACTAAATATTTTACTTTCTTTAAAAAATATATATTACAGTATAGATTCTTATAATATTTAAGTTTAATCTGTTAGTTTTTTACAGTGGAGATCATTTTACAGAATTTTATATATTTATATTACTAATATAATAACAGGAGATTAATTATAGTAAGAATTAATCTTATATTCTAAATATATTTAAAAAGCATATTTTTATTTTCTTACAGGTATTTTATTATTTTATTATTTATTTTTCTTCATAGAATCAGGTTAATTATATTTATATATATTCTGAAATTCTTTTATAAGAGAATTGCAGATAGAAGACCATATATAAAATTTAATTAATAAAATATCTTGATTTTAATCTTATAGTATTTATTATTTATAAATAAGATTAGAATTTAATAGCTAGCTGATCTAGTAACACTAATTTCTTTATTAAATATTCTATATTTATAGAAGTTAGAGATATCTAGATTATAATAATAATTTAGTAAGATATAATCAGATATAATATATTAAAAACTGTTTATATCATAGATCTAATATAATAAATAATTAGTAGTACTTTTAACTGCTATTCCAGAGAAATTTAAAAAATATATATTTTTATTATCTAATTTTATTTTATATTAAGTTATATGTTAAGCAGGCATCTCTATTATCTATTTTATAAATATAAATTTTATTATTTTAAAATTTATTTTTAAATTTAAATCTAATTTTCCTCCTCCGTGTTAATTATTCTAAATCTTAAAAAACTAGATATCTAGAATATATAATTACTATAATCTTAAATATAAGATTATATTAATATATTAATATTTTATTTAGCTATGGCCAGGGCATCTGTAGTAGTTATAGACTTTATTAATATATTTAGATATTATTTTCTTTATTTTAGTAATATATTTTTTATAAAAAATATCTTTTATAGAATATATAGTCTTTTTCTACTTTTCTTTAGTTATTTTTTAGCTTTTATAATAAGCTTTAATCTTTTTATATAATAATTATTATTTTTATCTTATTAAATTTACTATACTGTTCCCTCGCGTTCTGGTAGATAATATAAAAATTATTATTATTATATATAGTATCTACATTCTTTAGTATTTTATTTTTTATATAGATAATCCATGCAGGTATATCACTCTGTATCTTTTAAAGAAATAAAAATATAATTATAAAAACAGATATTCTGTATTATAAAGTCTTAGTAAAAGTATAATTTACTCAGAAATTATTAATATATTTAATTACTGTAGTATACTTGGATCTTCTTAATTTAATAAGATTATATATAATATTTTAGTAAAGTATAATACTATCTTCTAGAATAATTCTTTAAAATATTTTATATATATTATTTACTAGTTCTTTTATATTAGTAGAATCTGTAAACAGATCTAATATTTTATTTAATATATTTTAAATTAACTATAACTATATAATTATTAAATAAATATATTAAATCTTATATTTTTCATGGTCTTCAGCAGATCTAGCCAGATTCTTATTAATTAGATTTAGTAGGTTGATATTCTTAAGTATTTATTATATTTAAAAATTTTATTTTATTTAATTTATATATTCTTCCAGTAAGATCAGCAGCTCTAGAATATTATCAGATATTTATTTAAAAAGTTTATTTATCTATAAAATAATTTTAATAATTATTTCTTTTTCTAGAGAGAGATTTTTGAACAAGATTTTATATCTAATTTTATATATTATACTAGTTATTCAGTGTGCTTAGTACAAGTAAGTAAATAAATAAATAAAATATACTTCTTAGTGTGAATATATAATCTTATTAGATCTGTTAAACTTACTAAGACTAGTATTCTATAAAATATCTTATCTAACAGTAATAGCTGGCTGTAGTAAGATCTGAATAGCTTTACAGTATAAAGGCCGGGCTTATAATTTCTTGAGAAGTACTCTATAGAAGCAGTAATAAAAATAATAATAAAATAAATAAATAGAAATAAAAGAGTAAGTTAAATTAAGCTATCTAGGAGAGCAAAACAAAGCAACACAAAGAGATGTTTTGTAGGCGGTCCGAGCGCAGCACGTGACTAGCCTACATGAATGCCTCGACATTCACTGTAGTAGTTAGCTGTTCATATTTGCTGTTAGCGGCAAGACGGATGCATCCGAGCGTGTAGTATGTAATGCCAATGTGTGGCTGGGCGGGCATTTTGAAGCCCGCCTGTGGAGGAGTCGTGCTTAGTGGACTGCGTAACTAAGTAATTTGACATGTCGTCTAGCCGCGGTTGCAATAACCTTTTCGACGATTCATACCAATTAACGCAAATAGTTAATGTGTCGAGGTTGACGTATGTAGATCTCTTGCTAATAGCGGTGTGGCCCCAGAACAGTTGCCGGTGACTGAATAAGTCACTTGTGCATGGGTGACCGCCTCGTGACACTTGCCCTTTCAGCCGGGTAGACAGCTGAATTGGGATGTTACACAGGATTCCATGCAGTTGACGGAGTAAGTGATGGATTCCCTGTGGCCAAGAAGCATGCAGAGTCTTGCATAAAACCTAGTAGTGTGGTTGACTACGACTCCGCTACTAGGGGGAGACAAGAAGCTTTAAATGTAAAGATGGATGTCATGAAAGTGTAGCTGGTATTAACCTTTCGGCTGACCACAAGTTTGTCATTCAAAGTCCCTTCAGCCACCTCGCCCTACAGCAACAGCCAGTCTGTACGAAGACCGGAAGGGCGACCGAGCATCAGTTCTACGCTGACGCTATTGCTGGATTGGCTGGTTAGTAGTGGGACTAACCAGAGGAATAACTCAGAACAACGGGCCCGAACGGGGTCTGAATATGTGTATGTGATCTATATAGATCTCAAGATTATAGTAAGTCAGACGTAAGACCACGTAGACAGCAGAGATGGCGAATAATCAGGTAGTGCCTGGTTAAAGTCAATACTTCATCGAACTATTTCTTTTTACTCTTTTTTTTTTTTTTTTTTTTTTTTTTTTGGCCAGAGACAACATTACGGAGTTCCAACCAGCCTCCAAGTTTCTCGTATCATCACACCATATCCTACATGTATTTGCCCCTCGCTCATCATACTGACACTTGTGGGAACTGGTCGTATTTCCCAATCCCGCGGCACGGTTCGTCAATCTCAACACGATCCACCTGCTGAACCGCCTTGTCATCAGCCCCGAAGCGAAGCACCTTGCAACCAGAGGCAATCAATCGAGGAATTTACAGGCCCCCATCCGAGCAACTGCGGTCCGTTCAGCGGATCCTTCAGGAAGGCGGGGCTGTGATCTTGCATAATTCGACTGACTTCTGGTGCTATTCCCCAGGTACTCATGGATATGATAGGAGCCAAAGTTCATTGGTAAATCACTCGCTTGGTAAGCGCCAAGCCATTGAAATAGGTTCAGACTGGGGCACTGTCCGGCATTCTGGCAGCGGTACACCGGAATGTTCTGCTGGTTGCGGAGAAGCGTCGAGTTAGCCGTGGGGCAAATTCAGTCGGTCAAATCACCCTCCAATACGGCAGCCGGGTCCGGACCAGCAGTCGAATTGTTCACGGGGTAGGTGATCAGAGACGCATATTCGTTGACACAATTGGAGGTAATTGTAGGGCGATGTGCAACCTTCCCTGCAGCCGAGCGAGCAGGATAATCATTAAGAATGAAGCGCTCGTCAGGCACGACGCTAAAACTCAGAGCAGGTTCAGTGCCATCGTCTGAGTACTGGCCGATATAATTGGAGGTTTGCGCATCTTACCCAACACTTTCTCACATAAATACTCAACAAATCCGTCCCTTCGCCGCTGGGATACGACCGCGTAGGCCTAAAGTACTGCGCTCGCCGGAACTGTCCCTTCAACTTAGCAGCTTCTTCGTCGTCTTCTTCCTCTTCAGCAATATTGCAGATCCCATCGCCGCCGCGTGCGAGCAGGTCCCAGTGAACGCCCTTCAGTCCCCACGGTGGTCCTGGCAAGGAAGGGTCTTTGTACATGGGAAACTCAAGACAGACAAGAAGACCTCCCGGATGGAGAAGGTCGCTCATACGCTCGGCCCATTTCTGACGGACGGAGGGGTGGAGAGCGCATAGAAACTGTTGACTGCGTAAGTCATACTGCTCTGTGTCCGGTATTGCATTGAAGCATGCAGTAAGGGTGTTCACATACAGTATAATCATAGACCAAGTCAAACTTCTCACCATCACGCAGAGCTTCACTCTCCCACGCTGAGCTGAAAAAGTCGCCGGCAATAAATTCTACATTCCCTATATTGGCAGTAGTCGTAGTTCCAGAGGAGAAATTATACCCTTGTGGACTCTGCATCTCCGAAGTGGCATACTTCCTCGCCTCTGAAACTCCAGTTGCGGATATATCGAGGCCGTAGACGTCAAAGCCATGTAGTGCTAGCATGACGGTGTCGTAGCCCCTTCCGCAGCCCTGTAGGAATATCATAGATAGTTAGTGACTTCGAAGTAGATGTTTTGCAGTAATTCCGCGAATATCCGGTGGGTTTATTGGCTCGTTGAAAGGGGGAAATGATACCGGAACGAGGGCTCTCTTTCTCCGTTTATCGGGGGTGAAGGGGGAAAAGACATCTTTCTGCTGCTCTACTACATCGACTAGTGCAATTGAGGGACTCCCTCTATCCCAGAGATCGCTTTCATTGGAGTCCCAGAGGGCGGACCAGCCTGAGCCTTGGTCTTCCGCCGGCCTGGTGTGAGTTAGATAGGTTAGAGTCGGGTCTTCAATGCAAGTAATCGTGATCGTACCTTTCAGCAAAATGGCTGATAAGGCGGCCTTGAACAGGGGGATTAGGCGTGTGGACCATATTTATGCGAAGAACTCCACCTTTATTCGTGATGGCTGAAAGGTCTGACAGATTCGAGATGCGTCACGGACGGAAAGTCAAATTGTGGGGTGATTAAGAATGGTTCCCGGTTGGCGACGGAGCGGGTCTCCACCAAAGGAAGTCAGATGATTCTCGTCTATTTGCTGCTCTACGTGAGATCCCAATCCTATTTCCTATGGACATGAAGAGACGGTGTTGAGCCCTGAAGCATTGAGCAAAATGGTCGGCGATCGAAACAGTGCCCCGCTCTAACGCCAAATGCTTGGGCTTTGGACCCCATAGATACCGGCGGTTGTATATCGAGCTGGTTGTCATCAACACTGCAACCCATGTGTGGTCGCTAGCATCTGTAGATGTCCGCTGGCATCGCGTCTGACGTGAGAAACACTATAGCAGTATGCTTTATGAGTATATGCCCCGACTAGCTCCGTTTCATGGCACGGTCTGTTGCGACCGTGTTTCTCCGACTACACCACCTGTCCAGGTCACAGAGGACTGAGGGACCTCGACCCGACCTACAGAGGTACAAGGCAAATCTCATATCATCAGCTTTCATCATTACTGACTGATGGTCTAGACACTCTCTAGTGGGGTCTTTTCATATCCGCCTTCCCGTTTAGTCGGTAAGATGATATCGATACTGTGCGCTCAGCAAAACCCACTAGAAATCTTTCAGATGACCTAGAACTGCTACGGTCTTTCACGTGCATATTTAATCTCGGCGTGTTATCGGCCGAAATATGCCTTTAGTGATTGATACCACAGGCTTTGTTCGCCTGGGTACGGACGGTGTTTGCTGGTATCCCGCCATGGCGTTCTGTGCACTTTGGCGGAGCAAAAGCATAACCATGCAACAAGAACAGGCTGTCGGAGCATAGCCCACCGGGTCAGCTCGGGCGAATGTCTTACCTCGAGCCATTTGATTGTCCGAATTTGGGCTTGAAACTATGAAGCACCATCAAAGATCATCGCCAGTGGCATCGATCGGCTTTGCACGCTAGACTACATTACAGATTACTGTGTAGGGTACGGTCGTACCCTGGTGGGGCAGGTGTGAAGACTCTATGCATCAGACATCTGGCAATAACCATGTCGTCTCTGAGCAAGATGGCTTGCTTGCTCGAGAGTGTCTACAACGGCACTAAGACGTCTGATAGAACATCGTTATGGCCCGATTACTCTTGCACCGGTACAACGGGCGTTTACCCTCTCTCCCAGCTGTACCGGACTTCAGATAAAAATAAGCACTGTAGGTGCGGCTAGCAACCCTCGGTGCCCGTGTCACATCTGGCACCCAAGGGCAGCCGTATCTTCACGATTGCTCCGATCAGCATGCCCCCAGCGAATTGATGGAGGAGGGTAGATCATCGACCCAAGGCTCGTGTCTCAGAATGCCCCTGAAGCTTGTGGTTCCCGAGGATATGTGCGACCGGCCAATCTTTGACTAATACTTGGCTTATCCTCGTTACACCATAGGCTTAGTTGAGTCCCGATATTGGGTAACTTCATGCTCTTGAGAGACTTTGGGCTTGGCAAAAGTGGTGAGACATCGAGTAGATAATGCATGTGGGAGTGTGTGTTGAGGAAAAATGTGCTCTGTGTACAAGCTTGACCCACTGTCAGCATGCATTGTCGACTAGTAGTCCGCGTGGTCGGCCACGAGGCCCGGAATGCACATGAAGGCGTCGCTGAATATTCTCCTCTTCGAGTCGCATCCCCGCTGGTGCAGGGGTAACTTTTGGCCCCCAAATTGCCGATACTATGCAAAAATTGACCAGGTTGCTTTGGCCACATTGATTGGGCCCTGGAGAAACACCGAGGACAGCAATGGGTTCCCTTGAAGGGATAAGCGACGCCAATCGCTGCTGTTCAAGGATAAACCTGCGGATGGACAACTCCTTCCCGTTAGCTTAAGACCCGCCCATCTCCACCAGAAATTCCTTCGCGTCACGCTCGCTTGCTCTCGTCCTTCAGCCGTCAGCGCCTGTCAGCACCAGTGCCCTCAACTTCCCCCACAGCGGCCCCTCGCGGCCTATCGCCGACGGGCCCTCAAGCCGCTAAAGTTCACGTTAATTGATCCAGAGCCACGCTGCCCTCCTTGTTCCACTGCAGTTGACGAAGCCTATTGCTCCTCGGCCCCCAAGCATCACAATTCCTGCTGAGGGCTTACTATAGACATCCCTTGGACGGAGGATGTTATCTATGTCTCAGAGTGTGCGCCGGTCGCAACTTTCTTGCTCGAATCAGAAGTGCATCAGGCCATGATGGACATGATGGTTTCCCAATCCTGATTGTACTTTTGGCCCCCACGCGGAGATGATTCACGTTTTGTGGATGGTCTTTGCTGAGTGAAGACCCTGCGTCTAGGCCTGACAGCTCATGCAGCATGCCAATCGTAATATCCTGTTATCGCACTTGTACGCTCCGGGCCCTTGGCGAGAGACTCCATCCTGCTTTGCAGGCTATCTCTTGTGTTTCATTCTCATTTGTGACTGGCTGGTCGGAATATGTATCCCCTGCGTCTGCACTAATGCATCATTGGCCGACAAAAGATCCGTCATGGCCCAGCATGCGGAGGGGTTCATTAACCACGAAGATCCGCGCAAACACCTTTTAGCGGGAGGTGTTCGTTGCGTTCTTTCATCTCGAGCAAACTGATTTGGCGTCGATTTCTTCACTCATATAGCACGTGGAACCCCAGACATACTGGTGCAGTAATCATGGCACCGTTACCGGAGGGCGAAGTGAGTGGCTGGGTGGACTCGCCCAACGATCGGGGTACCATCGATATTATCTGGGGCTGTTGTTTGGTGCTCTCCACCGCTCTCTGGACAGTTCTGCATCTGAACATTCCGGCCCCTGACGATGGCCTTTGGACGGTTCTGTGGCGCAAGCTTCGCTGGGGAACATTTGCTATCTTGGCCCCCGACATGCTGGTAGGCTTCTCCGCCATGCAGTACGAGTCAGCCCAGGAATCGGTGCGCGACATGCACCGCCTGGGCTACAAAGAATGGACCCTCAAACACGCTTTCTACGCCAATAGCGGAGGCTTCGTCCTTCAATCGACAGACTACCCTCCCTTCCCCATTACCGCCGCCTCAATTCACTACCTCGTTGAGACACACCACATCGACTGCCCTACAATCACAGCGGAGGAGATCTGGGATAAAAGCAAAGCAGATACGTTCGCTAAATGCGTTGCATTAGTGCAAGGGGTATGGCTCGTGGTCCAATCCATCGCCCGGGCCGTACAAGGCCTCGCTGTCTCCCCGCTTGAGCTCTTCACCATTGCATTCGTGTTATCCACGATTACGACCTACTACTTCTGGATGCATAAGCCACAGAGTGTTGGGGTGCCGACTGTTATCGAACTCAAGAGCGGATCAGTCACCAGCTTGATCAACAGTGCCGGGGAGATCGGCGTTGAGCCGTTCCGCGAGACACCACTTGATTTCCTGGAAAAGCCGCACCAGCGGTGGCATCGCCGACCGACCCTCGAGAATCTCCGCCCGCAGAAAAGCCCCCTACAGCGTATGCCAGATGACAAAATCGTGTTCAATGGCCTGAGTCAACGCACCTGGCTACTGGTATCGATCCAGGCCATGGTACATCCCGCTGTCCACTTGCTGGGCTGGAACCATGTGTTTCCGACGAGCACTGAACAGCTGATGTGGCGCATCATGAGCGTCTTCCTAGCTTCTGGCCTTCCGTTGTCGAGCATGCTGCGCATAAGTCTGACCGCGTTAGGTTTTGACGGTCACCAGTCGCTGACATGGATATGGGTCCAGCCTACCGGCAAGGAAGAGAAAGGATGGCGTGCTTGGGTGCTGGACGTTGTCATGTCTTTTATCAGTGCCTGCCTGGTTCCGGCCCGCTTGTTTATTATCATTGAGGCTTTCATCAGCCTGCGACAGCTCCCATCGAGTTCTTATGTGACCGTTGAGTGGACGAGTTTCATCCCGCATGTCTGAACTGCTCGAACGAAAAAAAAAACTCGTACTTCTTGTTCCTCCGGAACAGAACTCTTCCGCTAAACACCTGTGGAAGGTCACAGACCGGTGACTCTTCGTCGCTCCTTGCAGCTCTCCAACTGCGATTGGTTGAGGCACTCAATGGACACCAAGCGGCGGGAAATGCACTATCCATTCACGTCGCCATGCATAGCCGCTCCCCAGGGTGCGATAAGACTGCCTTGTCTCTTGTAAAAGCGCGACACGTCATCGACCTAGTTTAGAAATAAACTCCGCCTGGCATACTGAGCATCAGGCCACTCTGTCCAAGTGAGCACAGACAAGCGCAGCCCTAGTCTGTCATCCCCCGCATTTCCCCCGCAAATCAAGGCACATCCGTGGGGGCATCATCTGGGGGAGGAGAGATCGGAGCCAAGCGAGCCAATCGTTCACTCTATTCCGTTCAGATCGGCGTGGGGGCGGTATTCCGTTGGCTGTCTTCTCTTGTGCGCCTTCGTCTAACTTCACACCCGGGGAATGCTGGGCTATGGGCACAACCTCGGCTCAGCATATTTAAATTCACATATCGCCTCACTATCAATCCTTCCGGGTTGTCACCTGTCTCAAGAGATAATGCTAATGATCCATCATGTTTGGCTTCGATATCGAATTTCGCCGTCACCGGTGGGCCTTGATCTACTGCTCCATCTCCGCCATCGGCGCCCTGGTGTTTGGTTATGACAACACATACTATAGCGGGATTTTAGGCATGCAAGAATTCAAGAATGACTACGGCGATCACTATGAGGATGGTGCAAAAGCACTAGCGACGAGCTTTACGTCGCTGACTACCTCCAGCATCTACATCGGGGATATGCTGGGTGCACTCATAGCAGGGCCCCTCAATGATCGCTTTGGTCGGAAAACAGTTCTCTGGATCGCTTCGGCGTTTGTGCTCGCTGGAGGGGTGACCCAGGTTGCTGACACCCACATTGAGGGTGTTATCGTACTTGGCCGCATTCTAATCGGGCTTGGAGTGGGCAACTTTACTGTTACGTCGCTGCTCTAGTGAGTGCTGTCGTGTCATTTGTACATATTTCAATCAACTCACTGACCCTTCCTAGTATCGGAGAAGTCGCCCCAATGGAGATCCGAAGTCCAGCATTGTACATGTACCAGTTCCTGCAATCCTGCTCGCAGTTAGTCGCCTCCGGCCTCACCCAAGGCACCAATTCCATCCACTCGTCTCTATCCTACAAACTACCTATGGGTGGACTCGTCATACTGCCACTTTTCATGCTCTTCTTCCTACCCTTCATCCCCGAAACCCCAACGTGGTACGTCTTCCACAATAGAGAAGAAGACGCCAAACGCGCTCTCCTCAAGATCAACCGCAACGACCGTACCTACGACCCCACAGCCGACCTAGCCTTCCTCACGCAAGCCCGACGCTACGAAGAAGCCCAAGGAGAGGAATCCTCCTGGCTCGCCCTCCTCCTCGATCCCATCGAACGCAAAAAGCTGATCTGGGCCTCGGGCGGCATGTACGCCCAACAAATCTGCGGCATAATATTCTTCTACAACTACGGGGTCGTATTCGCCGAAGCCCTCGGCGTCTCGCAACCCTTCACCATCACCCTCATCACGATGATTCTGCAAATCTTCGCCGTCGCCGCGTCCATCCTAACAGGAAACCGTCTCCGCCGACGCACCAACCTCCTCGCCAGCACTACCCTCATCCTCATCGCCTTCATCATCATCGGCGGCATCGGCACCCAATCCACCCTCACCACTGCATCCAAGTACATCATCGTCGTCTTCTCCTACGTCGTCATCTGCGCATACAACTTTGGCCTCGGCCCACTTACTTACGCCGTATCCCGCGAGCTCTCGGTCGGCGTGAACCAGAACAAAATCATGTCGGTGTCAATCGTGGCGCTTTATTTCTTCCTCTGGGTGATATCTTTCACGGCGCCATATCTGTATTATGATGCCGGGCTTGGTCCGATGGTCGGCTTCGTTTATGCGGGCACGACGCTGACGTCGCTGATTTGGGTGTGGTATTGTGTGGGTGAAACGCAGGGGCGGACGAGGATGGAGGTCGCCATGTTTTTTACGGAGAGGGTTCCGGCGCGGAGGTGGAGGACGCATGTTTTCGCGAATAGGGGAGGAGATGAGAAAGAGGATGTTAGGGCCGAACATGTGGAGGATAAGGCGTAGCTATGTTGATACGGTTGGGCAGGGATGATGATGAGAGTATGTGCTCTTATTCGTGGATAGGCAATATCATTAAGTTGTTCAAATCTTTTACATGCATCCAGGTTGATATTATATAAAGCACACGTCATGTGAATTATATATACCAAGTCTCGCAGGGCAGGGAGTACGATTGCGTTTAAAAAACTTAACATGCTATGTTATACCATAACAATACTTAACACCGTCATAATTCGTTGAGCAGGACAAAGCAAATTTGAAACCGAAGCAAGATAATAACAAGTTGTGTAGTCGTTAAGCTACGCCAGTCAGCTAGTGGATTACGGCCAAATGCAGGAAATAAGGTGTATTGATTCCCCGCGCTCACCTGATCCAGATCTAAAAGAGGAAGCTAAATCCAGTACATATGATAGTTTAGCTCAATCGGATGTAACTGCATCGTGTTCATGGACGCGAGGGGAAGGCTGGCCTTGGCGAACGCTAACTATAGGATGTGAATGAGTGGGATGAACGAGGAAGAGAAGTTTATTCGGTGGGCGCATCTGGCACATGTCACATTTCCTAGGGCTAACCCACGGTAGGAGTGAAACAACAAGGCTAAAATTAGGTACATGTGCAGGAAAAGATACTTTATTTGTTGACGCTATGTTGAATAGAGTCGTCCGAAATGTTTTTCTCCACTGACTGGTTTCCTCATCACCCCGCGTTGGTAATCTCATTATCGGTCTACAACACCACCGTCCCTAAAATGTTCACTAACAATTATACACCAAGCTAAACCCAATCGGCTGACTCCCGCCAATGGAGTTCTGGAAATTCACACTTCCAGGTGTAGTCTGCCACGTTGACTGCAACGCCAGGAAGCTCATTACATTCGAGCACGTATTCGACGCAAGGATCGTATGGAACGGGGATGTCGTTGGCGAAGTTGGGAACTGGAAAGTTGACACCATCTCCCGCCTAGTAGGCTGGTTGTTCCAGGTAGGAGGGGAGGTCAAGTCCCAGGGGTTGGTAGTCCAGATGTCAGCTTGGCTGGAGCCTGTAGCAATAGGCTGCGCCAGGGCCGGGATGTCGATGGCGAGCATACAACCTGTGGCGTCGTTGGGGATTTCGGTGAAGGTGAGGGCGGAGATCTTGGTGTTTGTGGTGGCTGTTCTGGCGAGGGAGAACTGCTGTCCGGTGCTTGGGGTGTTGGGGTTTGCGCTGTCGAGGACGTCGATGGCTGTTGGGGCGATGGTGGTGCAGGCGCGGGGGATGAGGTTCGCGGGTGTGGGGGAGGTGGATGCCACGGAGGCAAGGAGAGTGAGTGCAGTGATGGGACTGAGAAACTTCATTTTGAGAATGGGTATGTTATTCTGATTGCAAGATAGTGTTGAGGCAAGAAGATGACCGAATGAGACAAGGAGATGCTCTTTGGATCTGGTTTCGAAGCAGAGGCTACGTCTGGAAGATGCTTGTATTTATATCTCTGGTTCTGCAACTTCTTTCAAGCTGTAGTCCACTCGGTGAGCCATTTGATCACTTATGAAATGGTAATAAATAGCTAGTAGCCGCATTTTGGAGCGGCTGCAACCTCGTATAGCCCAAAGAGGCATTGACGATACGAGGCCAAGGCCAAGTTGCTTCAATAGACGATGTGATCTGTCTAAATTGGACTCTGTAAAATTAAACGAGAGGCATCCTTCACGACTTGACCACATACAATACCGAGGTATGTATTGGACGCCTGATCTAATTCTGAAGCTGGATAGTATTCGACGCTGAAGCGGTGTCAGGTGGTACTATACTGCTACTAAGGTTACACAGCAGACAAGGAGCCTGCCTAGTGCAACACGAACCAGCCATATTGGGTTGACTATGGCATTATCGGCAAGACATTGTGACAGACGTTCTCGGCTAAGGAGCTGCAGCTATTATGCCTCGTAACCCTGGTGAGCCAGATGTCTCTAGTGAATCTGCGGTAGCATGATACTTCCTCGCTATGCGGGAAACTCCGGAGTATCATGTTTCTACATCCTAATTAGGTGGCCTTCGGTTCTCCAAGTGAATCGTATATCTAGATTCAGAAGACTTAGAGCCGATACTACGCCCACGGGAAAATACGAGACACGGCGATGAAATTCGCGACTGATGAAAAAGTTAGACTTGAGGAAAGTCAGACACTTCCCGCAGAATGGATGCACCTTGTACTGTGTCCCGTGTCTCACGCTAGTTTTCTTGAGAGCCGCCCTTGCTGCTAAGCCCTGCAGCAGATCCGTTGCACGACATCGTGTGCGATCGCTTACCATTTTATCAATTGAGCGCCCGTATAAAATAGAGGCTGCTTCAGGAGTCACTGTTTATCATTCCATTTTGACTAAAAAACCGTGAAGAAGAAAGCCTGCACCGCCCCAGTCTGACTTCGCCGAGTTGTCAAATACCAGAGAGCTGTCTCACTTTGGAGGCAGCTTTTCTCTGGTAGTCGTATTCAGCCATCATTGCTCATCGCTTAAGGCAATATACAAAACGAATATTTCCATCACATTCTTATCACGTGGCTTGTTAAAGTTCAGAATTTTGATGCTAGCAGGTCAAAATGAGAAACCATACGCCCATGATAGCACGATGTGTAAAACATGACGAAGCCACATACACAGGAAATTCAAACCCGTTGTGTCTGCTGAACTGACTCCAAGGGTGTGTTCTGCTACATCCTTGCTTTGGGATTAGAGGTGGTGAGAATAGAATGAAGAGCGACATTTACTGCCTAGAAGCCAAGGCAATGAGATAAAAACTATCTGGTCGTAAATTAATAGAATAGAAATGCGGAGGAATTGATGAGATCTTGCCATGAACTGATACTCGAAGCATAAGCTGCGAAGAAGTAGAGAAGAGATACCCTCAAATTAGTACAACCTACCTAAACCCGCCGAGATAGAACTCCGCAACACCATCCTAAAGCAACATACAATCGGCAAGCCTTGGACATCATAATCTCTCAAATCACTCCAACATAGCTCCTTCCCCGACTTCACTCGCCCTCTCCACCACCCTCTTATATCCCCGTTCACCCCTTAACCTCTCCACATACCCATGCAACAGCGGATACTCACTCCTCGATATAACCCCCAACGCAAACCCCACAGACACCGGCACACTCAACTGGATATCCGCAAGCGTGAGATCTTTTCCACACATGTACGGGCCCCCATCAGGCGCTGTAGCAAGCTGCTCTTCCAGGAATCCGAAGTGAGTCTTGAATTCATTGTCCAGGAACTCAGAATTGACTTTTGATGCGATGAAGTTCGTTATTGGCTTTAGAAAGAATGGAATAGGTGCGTTTTGCAGCGCTATATATCATCAGTATACCTTTGGTATTAGGCAACCTACGATGTGGGAAATAGCTCACCATCGAAAACCAATTTTATCTGCAAAACACTCATCAAGCTCCCCTCCACATAGCTGTCGTAGAACTCATGTCGCATCCATGCCTCCGTTTCACCGCCTAGCTCTTTCTCCTTTCCGGGCTCATATTTTCTGGGAATGAGCTTGGTGCTTGTGGCTTCATCGGCAAAATGCTCAACTAAGTAGCTCATAATCGGGCTCGTCTCGGCCAAGATGATAGGTTTGGAGGTCGGCGAGGGCGGCTGGATGGATACTGTGGGCGATTTGCCAAGAGGGTGAATCTTTTTCAATTCTGCGGGCGCAGTGCCTGTCGGGTTGCGCTTGAAGGGTTGGATGGAGTATTCTAGATTCAGCTCCTCCATTATCCATGCGATGCGCTGGGCGCGGGAGCGCTCGAGCCTGTTATTCTGTTAGTTGTGGAGGTATTAAGGGCTGGGAAGAGATGTACCAGTTAAGAACGATTTTAGCACCGCGATTCGCGCTCATTCTGTCACGGTATGTTGATCGTGATTTTCGTGGTTGTAGGTGGATGAAGGTGAGTTTTTTGTTGCTGGGTAAAGGTTATTTATAGTCAAATTCTGCTGACCTGGATACGCAGTATGTCGTCAGCACAAGAAGTAGATATGTAGGTGGAGTGGATACTCTTTGTCTCTGAGGGATTTCTATGACTCCTCTGCTTGCGCTGGTAATTGCTTTCTTGGTAGGTAATTCGGGCATCGCCGGCACGATTTACGGGACGGCGTCAGCACTAGTAAATTCTACGGTGAGAGATGCAGAAAACCAACGTATCAGCTGACAGCGGGACGAGCATTGAGCCTGCAGTTACGAGTGTCAGACGCACCCTTCAGTAGCCTCATAGACTATGCTAACTATAAGATTGATGTCATCCTTGTGGTCATGTTTAAATTAGACCCAAAATCCCACGCCCTAGCATTGACATCCCCGAGTGCCGCATTCACCAACCTAAACCCTAACCTAGTCAATTCCCATCAATACCTTAAGCAACAACCCCATTCAGCTCATCGGCCGCAAGCCGCAACAAATCTTCCTGTCCCAACACGTTCTGCGTGTAGCGCGAATTGAACCTCAACACCTTCTTCACCTGATTATACGTATCCACATCCAACACCAACGGCAAGCCACTGACATACCACGACACGCCTTCAGTGCAAGGTGGAGTAGTCAGGGACCCAGAGTATGTATAAATATCGTTGTTCATGAAATGTCTCGTGACACTACTGAAATCCAGCAGTCCAAGCTCGGTGGTACTTCCCAGCTCGGCGATTTCATTGACGTCTGCGAAGACGGTATTTAGCAAGGGTGTGCTATGATCCTTGGTGGAGGTGAGATCGATGAGAAAGCCCACCACGGCGATACTTCCATCTGTGTTTGGGATTCTTAATTAGCATGAACAAAAGTAAGCACAGGAGGGGTTTATCCTCGTACCTTCGTCCGAGAACACAAAGTGGGCTTCCATGGGGAAATACTCCTCGTCAATCCGGTGCTCAGAGGGCGTATGGAAATGAAACTGCGCCAGGGTGAAGGTATGATTTCCTACAACGAGGGTGCCATTCGTCAAAGGCACTTCGATGGTGGTGCCGAGGTTCTCGAATTCGAGGTCAGAGACCGTAGGGATATAGAGAGTGACGGTGCTATTGTTGACCTTTGAAATCTCGGAGCTTCCGATGACGATAGGCGACTGGTGTGTCCCTGTTGCGCAAGCAACGTTGGCGCTAGGGTCAAGGCCGTACCAGTTCAGTGGACCTCGCGTAGCAGTGTACCCATAGCTGGGGACGGATGCACGTCGAGCAAGAGGGGTGTTGTGGTAGCAGCTAGCTGCGACGGCGGGGATGAGGGAGAGAAGGGATGTTAGACGCATGGCGCTAGTAGATAATAGTAAATAAGGTTGTGAATATAGTGCGTAGATGAGTGTCTGCAGGAGTTGGGGACCTTGTGGTCGTGGCTAGTCTATATACTTGCATTTTCTGGTTCGTTGATGGTATAGGTTGGTAGGTGTGTGGACGACCATTCAGAAATGCCAGCGCTGGTTACATTGGCTTCAATAATGAGAAGAACACTACTAAGTGCCTATGGAGGTAGTATCCGAATTCTTGGGCTTCTTCCTCTGGATGTTAGGGCAACCTTTTACTCATTCAAGCAGTCATTGTACCGTGAGAGTGGATTGGTTGTTGTCATATCCCACCCCTGCATGCCAGACATCAAGAAACCCGGGGACGCAGACATTTCCCCTTTGCCTACCCGTCCCTTGCATGTAGATTTCTGGGGCGCTACCATAAACCGGATTGTAGTCCTGATTAATCGTAGAATTGGCATTGTTGTTGTCTAGGTCTTCTCTGGTCAAGTGACAGAGAGGAAGACCAAGCCACGGAAATCGATAGGAGACGGAAACAATCTCCTTCCCTGTAATCAAGGTGATCATTCTTCTGGCTTCCATCGACAAAATCAAGGAAAGAATTTGTCGATCAATTCTTGGACATACTTCAAGCAGGCTTAGTAGAAAGCTTAAATATAATTTTAAACTTGCTATGATGCTTTAGTAGTCACACTGACTGCAGATGCAGCTCGAGTGTTAAAGTGGGAGTCAATTTGGAGCAAAGGTCGCCGATATATCTTGTATGACAAACAAAAGAGCAGAAAGCAGCCAAGCAATGATACCAGAGAGTAAGCTCATCAAGGAACGCCCAAGAGAAGGTTATGATACTCCGTACTTAAGAGTATCACCACGCACCGTCGTTGTTCAACTGGAGGAATGCTATCTTTCGGTTTTCTGCAGGTGACGAAATCCGAATTGGAATGAGTATATTTGCTAAGCCCCGCGTCTGTACTTCAAGCCGTCAGGAGTGGAGGTAGTATAGCATTGGATTATAAGAGTATCGGTAGCCTAGAAGCGGTAGTAGCCCTGGTATGCACGCCCACCAGACCCAGAGTATAAAGTACTAGACATGGATCGATAAGTATTTCCGTGACTTTGGTCCAATGTGTACCCGATACTGGACAATCTGACATCATTCAACTAATCTTCTACACGCTACCGTTATCTCCGAGCCGTATCCCTGACTCATGCGCCCCCAACCAAGCATTTGCCGCCGGCCCCAACCAGCGCCCGGTGTTTCACATACGTTTCTGACGGGCGCATGCGCCAGCGACTGGCTCTTATCCTACGAATGAGAAATCAAGAAGATGGTATAAACATTTCCGCTGACTCCATGCAGAATTCCTGAATTGATTGTACTACAAAGTAGGCTGGTTTATACAGTTGCGATGAATCAATACATATGGCACAGCCATTGGTATGTCGTCTAAAGAAGCATCCCCGCGAATGCGCCCAGCCCAAGTATCGTCATCAAGAACCCGCTGTAGGAGAGACCGCTAGCATCACTGCTGGATACAGAGGCGGAGCTGGAGCTGGAAGAGCCAGAGCTCGAGGACGACGAGCTCGATCCCGAGCTACTGGACGAGTTGGTCGACTTGGATGATGTGGTGGTGTTGTAGGCGTTGATACTTGTGTAGTCGCCAGTCTTGTCCGTATAATTGTAGTACTCGGCGGGGGTGTAGTTAATGATACTGACCGACTCCAGATACATGATGAACGGGCCGTCATCGTAGTCGGTTTCACCACCGGCCCATTCGATGGTTCCCTCGGAGTTATCGGGGTCACCGCCAGCCCAGATACCAACACGGACGGTCATGGGGGTCTGGGGGTAGTTCTTGCCATCGACAGCGTCCGCATACTCGAGTGTACGGACGACAGTACCATCGAGAATCCATTCGGTCTTGCTGGAAGTCCAGTTGACTCCATAGGTGTGGTAGGTCTCTTCGGGGGTAGTGACGTTCACGGTGGTGGCACGGTCGTAGGACGTGGTGTTGCCTTTGCCAAAGTAGTTCGTCTGGATTTCCGAGTCCCATGTACTGACTTGCTCCTGGGTAGGGTTAGCATTGGTAGTTTTGAAGCTTGATAGGGCCGTACCCAGTCAATCTCATCCAAGTCGTTAGACTCCATCACACTAGTGCTGATGATACCGGTGCCGTTGGCAGCGCGGAACTTGACCTCTACATATCCGAAGAAGATGTAGAAGTTGGACTCGATAGTAGGGGCATCGCCCTGCTGGCTGATAACAAATTCGGCACCTTTGGAGGTGCTGTTCACAGTATCGGCGGTGACATTCCATCTATCGCGCCAAGACGAACCCTCGGTGAAATTGGTGGTCAGGGACCACTGGTTGAGACCCTTGTCAGGTGGGCAGGTTTCTGAGAGTGTGAGTCAATTATATTACTCTCCGATAAAGTTGTTCCGTCACATACTGTTCGTGGGGTTGCAACTCGAGTATGTCTGAGCTGCACTGAGAGGCACTGTGGCAGCGAGGGCAGTCAATGCCCATGACATATATGACTTCATGATAATAATTACCGAATAAACGGTCTGAGCGAGTGACTAGAGTATTTGAAACGAAAGAAAGCTGCAACGGAGGCTGGCAACGAGTGGAAGGGGTGGAAATGGGATTACAGACTGTATATAGGGTACTGAATCATGACCATGGTTGACACGAATACTCAGGGGCAGGCTAGCTAAGGCAGCAGCAGATATTGAGGTTGGCTATAAATTCTCCCTCTTGCTGGGCGCAAGAGCGCTTCCACTGCGTGTGGCCAAGGATGCATAGCCTGGGCAGTGTTCTTGGTACATCTCATTGGAGGAGGGAGTGGAGCGGCTGTCTTGGGATGACGGCGTGTTGGCAAGCGGTTGGCTCTGGAACGACAGCAAGCCCATGAGGGATGGGGCGATGCGTCGGCCACAAAGCTTGATGAGAGGCGATGAGATGGCTTGCGCGTCCGCCCAGAAGACGGTTCCTGAACACTTACCCGGCAACAGGCACTTGGCCCGAACGGGAAAAGTGCTGTCGTGGACTGTGGATGCGCATGACGCCTATCAAGACTCAACCCAATGCAGCAACGATGAAAGGAGCAATTTTAGAGAATTAATATCGTCTGTTTTGAAGAATAGTATCAGCTTCTCCAGCAAATTCATTTTGTCTAAACCTCAGTGGCATTATCTTAAGCCGTTGCTGAAGCGCGGGAGCGAGCCGAGATTCGAGGGTTATCGTCGCAATCAGTGGAATGGAAAGAAAGATATGAACACTGAACAAAAGCCAATAGGATCGGCTCCGGAAGATCAGTCAGATGGTTCGGTCCCAGCCTCCGCTACTGTCTTTAGGTCCGCACCGAGTCTCAGCCAGTAAACGAGCCCGAAGCCATGAGACTGCGGATCCCGTCGTGGCAAATGCGTATGTTTATCTTGCCAACGTATATCTGCGAGCCTTGTGACCATGTATCATATTAGGTTTAAGGCTCGACTCAAGGCCATTCTAGAATTGTCAGTTCGAAACCTGAGGGTTAACTTTATGCTGGATGTTCTCGGGAATCGGGACGTTCCTGGAACCACCGTCACGAATAGAAACAAAGATGTTGATCTCTATCTCCACTGATGCTATCGGCTAAGGTTTGTGCCAGATAGCCATGGCTAGTAGTAGCACAAAGTACATAAAGAATTGCACATCATCCGTAAGCGAGCTTACTGCTTCTATATTAAGACTGATGTCTTACCTACCCTCTCTGGACTACAATCACGGGTCTGCGCAGCCCCCAGATGTCTTGCTTGTCCAGTCGACTGCTCTTGAACTGCTAGAAGCTCACATAGATTGATCCATAAAATGAACTAAAAACGTGATAGATTGAAACGATGGAACCTGATGACGTGATACGGTTGGAGCGCAAAAGAAGGCGTAGGTAGCAAAACGTACCCATTCATCATACCCTGACTTGTATGTGAGATCTCTCTTCCAGGTCACTTTACCACGTCTCCCTTATTTAAAATACCACAAACAAGGCGCCCAAAATTCGCTAGAGAACGACTCCTGTGAGTCATGAAGTCAAGAGCTTACTGCTTATTCACTCTCATTGCCACTGGGTGACACCCAACTTCCCCTGTCAGTATTACTGCGAGAGTCTCACAAAGAACGATCTTAGAGCGCACCAGATGCTGTGGATGAAAAACGCCCAATATATCTCAGATGTTTACTCGGCCTCGTTCAATCTATGGGTGTCTCATCAGCATTCCTTTACTCGTCGACATCCGATATACTATCTATGGACAGTGGCTCACCTCGACACATACATTCCTAGATGTCTTATACAAGATTCTCTACGCTTGCTGTTTCGACCCATTGTGGCGTTCGTCGGGATCAGAATGTCTGACTAGGTCTTTTCTACGCTATTGATGCTGCTTAATGCCTCACGTCGAGCCACCCTCAGTACACTCGAGATGGAAGAGATATACGTGACCCGAACATGCGAGTAAACCAAGGCCTCCCTATCTCTATCATCTTCTACATATGCAAATTACCCAACAACGACGTAAAGTCTGACCGATTTGACTTGATGATAGTCGAATTCAACTGTGACATCCACCACAGGAGACGGAGAACTTAGTACGAGGATGCACATAACGCCGATGATCCCGCTGGAACGATGCTCCCACTGAACGTCTCACGCAACCCATCAATGCAGCTACGCGGGATGCGTGTGCCACACAGCGCAAAGGAGTCGCTGAATGTGAAGGGATGGTTTGTCACGGTTGAATGGAGTTTGCAGGTTCCCGGTTCTGGCATTGGCATGAATGTGAAAGATTTCGGAGTGGTGGTCATGGAAAAGGAATCGGATCCGAGTCAGGCTCAGGAGCCACAGGCTACATCAGTCACAGGACATGCTTGTTCTATTCGGGCCCGGCTCTATCAGTGCCAGCAGAAGCATGAGCAGCTGAGTTGGAAGGCCTCGAACATTTCCTGAGGCAGTGCCAAGAAAGTTGTTTTCAGGTAGCTTGATAGAAGCTATCTCGGCTTCTTCTCCGTCAGTCTTGCCAATCGTCTCTGTCTAGGTGGTGGCCTTCTCGAGGTAATACGGATCCCTTGCGTTGGGTCAACTGCTCCCCAGATCTTGAGCTTCTGGACTGATGGTTCCCTTTTCTTCGCGGACATGTGAGTCGT